CTCCCGTGAGTGATCGATTCGAGGGCAAATCGTAAATAGCAGAGCTGATCTTTAATCGAAATCAGATTCCTAGAATGCTTGATGCTATTGCATTGGAATCGACAAGAAGCATGTAAGCCAGCGTGAATCACGTGCAACAACATAGCATGCAGGAGATGCCTCTGGCCACTTGTGTTTGGGAATGAGAGTTGCAGTGAACTAAAACTGACCCACGCACAAAACGCTGCAGAAGTTTTTCGCCGACAAAACAGATGTGGTGAGCTCGATGCCTCGTCCCGATTCTGCTGGTGATCCGGGGTCTCCCTCCTAAAGCAACCCAGAGCGGCCACAATCGTGCACTGCATGGTATAATCGAAGGGAAGAGCAGGCGGGCGCGCTGTAAGAAAAAATGCAAGCGCGTCCAAGCTCCCAATCATCATTTTGATCGAACATTTACTGCGAATGACCCTCAGAGCCGTCATTGCCACCACAGAAGTGATGTGCGGCGGAAACAGGCTAGAGTCGAGTTCCGTCAAGCCAGAAGTTAGATTAAGCTCCACCAAGGCGCTCTGCGCTGCAAGTCTCTTTGCTGGATATTTGCTGCTTAGCTCCGGAACTAGCACTGCGGCAGTGGAAATTGGACTTGGATCGTGCCTCCTATGACTAGCACGTATAATCAGACAGAGTGTATACACTAAATCATTCACGGTCTGCATCGAAGTTTCTACCTCGTGGTCATTCAAGGCACGAAACAGAAACTTGATCACATTCATTTCTATATGCCGAATCCAACGGGAACCCAGCACTGGGACCAGGCAATGCAACGCCTGGCAAGCACCTTGTCGTGCATGCAGGCTCGAATGGTCAAACAATGTGCAAAGCCGCAAAATCAAATCTGATATCAGAGCTTTTCCCGGCAATTCTCGAGGTGGCAACGAAGGCTGGGTTTCAAACTCCAGGGAACAGGAAATTAGATGCCGCATTGTCCTCACCGCACTTCTCCGAACTTCGAAGTTCGGATTCAAAATCGCATTGGTTAGCATCTCATTCATCGTATAGACACTGAGCGACTCAGTGTATTGCGACGCATACATATTTGTCTCTGTCTCTACTTTTAAACATTGATTCGCATGCGTACTTTCCAAACACGAAAAGAGCACAGCGTAGTGCAGGCAGAGACTCTTAAGAAGGCGCGTTGCTTGTAACTGCAATGAGGGAGATAAAGCCGCGCTTGCACAAAGGACAGTACCCAGTAATAGTTGAAACTGCTCGTTAGCACGAACAAAGGCGATTACATCCGACCGACTCAGCGTAGACGCTTTTGGTTTCGCGCCATCGTTGCATAGAATCAAATGAGGCCGGGATACTAGGCACTTAAGTGCGGCCGTTACAAAAATAAAACAAATTGCGCTGTATCGACTCACTAGCGATGCTCCGAGGGAGTCTACTTCACGATTCATGTTTGCCGGTGACATCCGCAAGAGGGTTTGAAGCAGCTCACATACGGCATCAATACACCCGTCAAGAGGCAGGACGAATGTCTCGACCTCATTATTTGACACACCATGTTCAGTGCAAGATGGAGGATTGCTCGGTGGAGGAAACTGAGAACGTTTTAACGAAATAGATTGGTCATGGCGCCAATTACAATTGAGAGCCAGGGTTCTCATGCGGGCGTGCGAACACATAACAGGCCCACCTGCTGATGCAAACCAGGGGACTTCAGAAATGGTATTCCAGTCGAACGACTTGGAAGCCAGACTTGCTCTCAAGAATACTCGGTCCAATTGTTCGTTTAAAGCCAGCTCAGGTCGAGATTCTTGTATGCCCTCGTGGGTGCGGCATGCGCCTAATAGATGGCGGTTGCGACCACCCAATTTCCCTAGGATGCGGATGGCTAAGGTGGCATATGGGTAAGGGGGTGGACGAAGATGCGAGTAGAGAGCGTCCAAAAGGTCAGCCGCAATATTGGGTTGCAAGTCCAGAATGGCAGAAACCTGCTTTATCCCCAGGTGCTCGAGATAGTATTCGAAAGTACGGAGAGATAATGATGCTAGATCAAACCCCGGGAACTTCAAAGCGTAGGCCAGTGGCTCAAGCAAATAGGGAATCGTACTAATCATCGCCGACAGGCGCACAGGGAGTGTGAGACAAAGTTCCGTGATTAAAAAATGGGCCGGCTGGGACTTTGACAAACGGCATCGTAATTGTAGCATCGCTTTCACTACCACCGGTAGAATGACTTCAACTTCCAAGTGCGACCTGTCGAATTTATCACACTCATCCGTAGAGCATGAATTGCCAAGGGAGCGGAATAGAGCCCGTAACAAAAGCAGGTAACCAGTCGACAGATGAGTGGAAGCGGCTCGGCGCAAGGATTCCAAGACTAACATCTGCAGTCTTCCTAATAGGGCATTTTCATTACCTTTGAATAAGGTCACAGACCCAAACACAATTTTCATTAGGCGCAGCAAAATGGAGGCACGATATGAAGGCGATATCCGCCGGCAGTTGGCAGTGAAGTATTTTGTGCATCCTATCACCACCGACGAAACTGATGATGCCGACGCACACGCTAGGCAAGCACCATCACCACAGCGACCGGACGACACAAGTTCTTGGGAACGGAGCACGGAATACATGAATTTTGGATGATCGAGATACGCTAGATCATCCAGGCGCTTTATTAAGTAGGATAGCAGAAGCTCAGCGAATGTGGCCGATGAATTTGTGTTTGCCAGTAACAGTTGCGAGACGCCAAGAATTTTAGGCGTCTTTAATGTAGCAACAAAAAGCAGCGGAATGTGTTGACCTACGGTCAGTCGCAAGTTGTATCCATCAAGAACAGTGAAAGCTCCGGCCAGGTTATCTAGTATCTCTTTCTCCTCAACGTGCTTCAGTTTCGCACTGTGTATGTACAGTTGGCAACAACTGAGCCCCCATTCAAAGAAGTCAGACACTATGGCAGCTTCTTCTCGTGAGAAATAACACGTCGCTAATTTAACTGAGAGACCGGTCCCAAACAACCCTCCCCCGGAGGTGGATTCTTCGCTGTCGTGGCTTTTGCTTGGTGTGACCTGGCGGTATCGCGAGACACACCATAGGACGGTTTTGAGCCCGCGCAAAATGGTTAGCAGCAGTGCTCTAATATCCGCAGCACATTCCAGGAAGCTCAATGGATATCCATGAGTCACACTGGAGTGCACGGGTGGCATCATAGAGTCCACGAGCTCAGTGTTGTTTGCGCGATTGGTGACGTGTCGAGAATATTCTCGCAGTTTCACTGCGAAACTACTCGCTTTGGTAAGTGACTCTAGACCCGAGATGGGGTTTGTGCCAGCCCTCGAAGGATTTGGGTTCTGGACACCATTCTGTGAAAACTCAATGACTAACCAACGCAATGTCTCTAATTTAGCGACTAGCGCCCTCAAAATGCATACCAAGAGGGACTTACCCCTAACAAAATTGGAATCCACATTATGAAATATATAGTCGACCAAGTTTAGCAAAAGTCGCACCGATGTAGTTTGTACTGTAATCGGGAGTGCTGAATCTTGCAGGTTTCGGGAGAACAGCATTACAACTCGGGCAAGTTGGTCAACATCAAGCTGCGACCGCACGTGATGAACCAAGTCAGCAAGTGTGGAAAAAGCAAGGGGTCTGAGAGATTCTTGGCTGGGCCGGCCTATGCCCACTAGCACTTTTTCATCGAGAAGGATGTCCACATATCCGAAGAAGCCACGTCTAAAGTCTGTAGCTAAAATGTGCCTCGTGGCTACTAGCAGCTCTTTCCGAGTCGCTACCGCATCACCCGGGCATGCAATCATGAGCGCTATAACAGACTTGGAGATAGCATCCTGGTATGGTTTCATTAGATCAGAAAATCCCCGGAGTAGATAGGTCAGAAAAGAAAGGGTCTTAACTTGACAGGCAATGAATTCACGGTATCGCTCGCGCTGCAGCCTATGCGCCAAAGATGACACCCTGAGGGCCAAGCCACCCATCATCAATGGTGTAAGCTGGGGAATGTTGTCCTGGATGTAACGGGGATACAATTGAAACAGAAGCATGACAATTAGAGGACACTCTGTCAACACTTTGAAAGAGTCCAATCCCTTCAGAGGAGTCGTGGGTCGGTATGT